TTGGCGTCTTTTTCATCATGCTATGCTCTTTTTTTAGTGATCTCGTGGAAGTACCTAACTTAGCTGCCTTATGGGTAATAACTGTAGGTACTTATAGTCTTTGTAACTTCATATGTAAATGAATCACCACATCTCCCTGTTTTATCCCTTTATTTTCCATGCTAGTTCTTCTGGGAACTTTTGTCTCCTCACTATCTTCTTCTCTCTCCCTAAGAGATTGCCTAGATTTGGGAGATCTCAGCCTTCTTTTTTCATAGGAGTGTTCCTCCAATGATTGTCCTTATTCTTCTACAGAGTCTATATTGTTCTCAATTTCACTCCCATGTTTGTCTTACCTTGATATGACACTTTTGCCTTCATTACTTTCAGGCTCACCAAACATTTCTTCATCACTATTTTGTTGCAATCTAATTTGGTCTGCATGCACTAATATCTCATTTTCATTTTTTTTCTATTATCATAGTGTTCTATCAACTTTGCATTATGAAACTTTCTTCTTCTAGATTAGATTCACTATTCTTTTTGTACCATAGTTTTTTATTGGTAGCATAGGACATGGTCAATGGAGATTTGTCTATCCATGAGGGCAGATGGACTTTTCGATCTTCCAGCATGTGATATTGTCCTATAACTTAGCAACAATCTAGGAAGAAATGTTTCTGTTTTCTTTCTATTGTACACATCTTTTCAATCCTTTTTTTATAGTTTACACCTTTCTGCTAATCAATTTTATTGCAGATGGTATAGAGGGGTTTTATATGGTTTGAATCCAATTTTGTTCAATCATTGGCATAATTCCCCATCACAGAACTCTGGGGTGTTGTCAGATACTAGTATTTTGGGAATTCCATTTCTTGAATATATGATCCATAACACTTGTTTCACTGTTGAACTTCTTTTGTTGGAGACCGGTATTACCTTTGGCCAGCCTGGAAATGAATCCACCAGTATTAGTAATAATCCCATTCCATTAATATGGGCATGATCCTTGTGTACTTTCTCATGGTTGGGTCTCTTTAGGCCATGTATGTGTTATTGTCTGTCTAAATTTTTTTCTGACATTGCACATTTAGCACCATTTTATGTATTTTTCTGCATCTGTAGAATAGGCTGGCCACCATGACTCTAGCTCCTTTGTGTAGATGTTATTCAACAATGAACATCATCATGTACAGTTTTTTTATAATTTGGCTCCTTTGCATTGCTGACAGAACCAATATGTCTCCATTACAAATTACACACTTTTCTACAGTTAACTTCTGTTTAACCTCTTTAAAATGCTTTTCTCCCCATGAGCAATTATTCCACCTGTTATTTTTTATCCTGAACAATATACTGTGAAATACAGGATCTAGCTTCATATCCTCAGCTAATTTGTCTATCAACAAAATATCAGTTTCAACCCAATGCAAGAAAATGTCTTCAATTTTTCTCTTCTTTTTGACCATCAGAAGTAATAAACCTCAATCTCAACAAAGCATATGCATGTGAATATGCCTTTCACATACTCAATATTGAAGTCAAATGCCATTAACATTAAGGCCCATCTTAGAATTCTAGATGTTGTTACCTTAGAAAGTTTCTTCCTAGGATTAAATATGAATTCTAAAGGTCTATGGTTGGGACTTAGTAGAAATTTCTTTCCGATCAAAAACTGATAAGCTCTATTTGTCATCCATATTATGGTCAACAGTTTTTCCCAATATTTGAGTAATTCAGTTTGGCTTTTGACAATTTTCTCAAAAGATACATAATAGGATGACCATCCTGAGCTAATATTCCTGAAATTGAGTGTTCACTTGTGTCAGTTGTTACTACTAATTCCTTTCTAGGGTCAAATATTTTCACTACTGGCATCTTTGCAGAACAGCTTTTAAATTTTCAAATGTTACTTGTTCTTTTGTCCAAATAAATTCCACATACATTTTTCTTAAAACAACAAAAGGTTCTGTCAATTCAGAGTATTACTCTACATATCGTCTGTAGAAATTTACAAGTTCTAAGAAAGATTCTTCTTAGGTACTTCAACTTTTAATATTTTGTCAATTAATGATTGGTTTGGTGATATGCCTTTGTTAGATATGGAATATCCCAAAAATAATATTTTTTTAGTGTTGGACACTAAAATTTTTTTTGTTAATTGTTAATCCTGCATTTTTTAATTTATTCAAAACCATACTGATTTTCCATTTTAACTCTTCATAGTTAATAACACCAACACAAATATCCTGGTATATTATCTTTTTTATATCCACTGTCATCTATACAAAATAGATGTAAACCACAAAATCCTTCTTTTTTAAATTACTAACAGGGAGGCTCATTTGCTCTCTCCTGGCGGAACTTGTTCAAGATCTTGTTCCAATAATTTTTTTAAAGTTTTTCTACAACTATTGACAGTAAATTGACTGGCACACTTTGTGCTTCAAAATATGAGGGGGAGACATTTTCCTTTAGTCTTAACTTTGCTTCATAGTTTTTTAACATTCCAGTTTCTTCTGCATTGATTTTGTTTAATAATTTTGTCAAATTTATGTTCAATACATCATTTCTTATTAGACCATGATTCTTTTCACAGTTTGCTATGATACATCAAACTTATTTTTTAGTTCTACATAGGCTTCAAAATAGCCTAATATTTTTATCATGGATCTGTCAAACTGATTCAATTAGACATGGCTTTTCTTTAATCTTGGTTTTCCTAACTTTTTTCAGAAATTTCTGGGTATCAAAGTCATGTCACTTTCTGTATCTAGTTGCATCTCCAATAAAACATTATTAATTTAAATTTTTAATAATCCTTTTTCATTTTTTTTACAATGAAAAAACGTCAATACTTATTTCCTCTTCATTTTGCTGGACGTCTGTACATTTTTCTTTCCTGATTTACACACACATTTAAAATGATTCATTTTAAAACACTTTTCATAATTTTTTTATATACCAGGCATTTTTGTTTTTCTCTTTGATGTTGAAATCCACAAATTGTATACATTATTTTATCTTTTTTCTTTAACGAATATGTGTCCATTTCCTCTACCAGATCCATAACTTTTGTTCTATAAAATTTTCCAATTAATTCTTGTTGCCAAACGAATTAAGCACACTTTCTAGGGACAACTTTCCCAATTGCAAATACATTAGAGTCATTTGTCAGTACTCCTCATTTTAAAGGCCATTTACCAATTTAATTTGGATCAAATCCTCTTCGATTGACTGGTGTTCTGATCCCAGTTTCTCAAATTCACAATATTTAGCAGCCTGTTTTAAACAAAGAACATATTTAATAACTGGTTCATTCATTTTTTTTGAGAAATATTTATAAATTTAGCTCTCTCTGCATTCACTAGTTTTTTTGTGGGTGTTATGTTTTGCATTATTAGTTGACTTATATTGCCAAACATCATTTTCTCCAACTATCTTGGGTGTGCTATTGCTGATAATTTTAAGCTACAAGAGAGCAGTTATTTTGTTTTCTCCTCGAACTGATTTCAAATCTTTTAGCTTTTTCATTCTAGCTTCAGCTGCTATTATACTAAGCCACGCTTGTGTGTACTCATAATTATCAAGTGATAATTGTTCATTTGAGTCTTTAGATATTGGCAATGCCATTGTCATGTAGTGTTAGTGACTCACAGGAAGTAGTATGCACTCAACTGTCTCATGGTTAATAACTGTAACTACTTATAGTCTTTGTGACTTCATATGTAAATGGGTAACCTCAGTGAGTAATAGTGAAACAACCATTTTTAGCAGTGCTCAGATCTTTGAACAGGCTGGAATTGAAGAAGTCAGGAAGGAAAAAAGGTGTAGAATACTTCACAAATTGGGATCTGTCAAGAAATCTAGGTAAATGCCTCTCAGTAAAACAAATACTTTAAAGTGTTAAAATTGGGCCAAGAAATACAGGAGAGTGAATTTTTCTAACATAATTTCCACAGACAAATCGCTGGTGACACTTGATGTACCTGATGGATGGGCTAAAAGATGGATTTTGTCCAATACAGCCATGACTGTGGCTAAAAGGAGGCAGCAGTTTGATGATATGAAATGGAATTATCAACCAAACCATTATTGAACCATTCAAAGTTGATGAAGGAGTTAAACTGAATAATACTAACTATTCCAATTTCATAGACAAGACTTTCTTTGTATGGTACAAGTACAAGTCTTGCAATTTCAAAGTGAAGTGCATATTTATACATGACAATGCTCTTTCTTGTGTATCTAAGGCTAGTCATGAATTTTGTGATGGTAAAAGGTTTACAGGAGAGAAGATAATGGAATGGCCACCATCAAGTCCCAATCTGAATCCAAATCTATGGAAGATGAAATTATATGAATGTGGCAAACAATATGGCAGCAAATCAGGCCTATGGGAAGCAATTAAAACTACCATGTCATAAATTGAACCTGGTGAAGTAAAAAATATTTAACAAAATCAATGGATAATAGAGATTGATGGCTGTTATAGAGAAGAGTCACTATATTAAGATGTAAATGCTTCAAAGACTTATCATATATTTTTGTTATTTATTCTATTAAAGGTGTTGATCAATTGTTGATGATTTTATTACCTTGATATTGAAGTAAAAAGTGATTTTCTGCTTTTGCATAATAACTTCAGACTGCAGTTTTTATAATAAATCCAATAACTTTAAGAAAACATGTTGAAACTAGCTAAAAATTTAATTCAACCTTTATCTTGATATCTAAATTAATAAAATTTGACAGAAATTGTTCAAATCAAATTTGAGTTATTGAGGCTTATGTGATTTGCATAATAACTTCAGACAGACTGTACATATGTGTATATGTATAATAGTCTAGGCTGTAATGATTAATTCCTGATTGAATAAGTGTGAATTTGGAGGAATCAAATCTTTACTCATGATGACTGCAATCCATCAAGAGGTAACAAAAGACAAATGGTTCACTTTGCAGTCATTTCTAGACAAAAATATTGTTCTTTGATTTTTACCAACAAAAATATCTCTTACCTGAGCTGCTGTCAAATCATTCTTTGTCAAAATGTAAGAAAGAAAAGTAACAACTCCAGCAATGATTGGCACCATTGGAGGAATTACAACATTCACAGTTTGAACAAAAGCAGTTTTAGTCAATAATTGTTTTTCTAATTTTCGAATATCTGAAACAAATAAATATTCACAATAATTAAAATAAAAATCCTGAAGTATATGCTACAATTTTGAACTATTATTTTAATGAAAATTGCATTTACTTTTAGCTGTGAGTTCACCATTTCATTTCATTCTAACTACAACTATAGACTGATTTCTTAAAAGTCATGGGACATGAACCTAGTATCATGTAGAAACCTTCTAGTCTGGTAAAGTACAGAATTTTGGAGTAATGTCATCTTCAAAGCTGTCCACAGTTCTGTGCCATTTGTAAGTATATAATCTTGCATGCAAATCCACCATGTTACATGTAGTGAACTAATGCAGAAGGAAAATAGTCACACCATTCATTGGAGGTTTCTAGAATACTCCTCAAATTCTGAATATCTTGGGTACAATGACACAGTACACAATCCTGTTGGAATAATCTATCATTGCTGAGGTATATAGAATCCATAAATGGGTGCAAACTGTCACAAAGCAATGAATACAGCAATCACTGATCAAAGACATATTTAGATAAACCAGTGACCCAACTGACACCACATGAACACTCTAATAAGTATTCTACTCTCACTGAAGCTAAAGAATGCTGAACTGACCTGCTGAATCTCTATAACAGCTTATTTGTTTTACTCAAGATAAGATTAATTCCTAAAAACCTCTCACATAAGGAAATATCTACTTTTTAAATATTTTTGATGATTATAAAATTTACTAGTGTATCCATGCTGTAAAAAATGACAGCAATTGTTACAAAGTTTTAATAATGAGATACAATGAAACAGACAATAGTGAGATTCAATAAAGCAGAGATAAAGAATTCACAGCAAAAATAGAGGCCAATGAACCATTTAATCCATTCTCTTTATATTTTTTAGACATTCAATGGTATCTATGATTCATTGATTACTCCTGGTATTATATAAATTCCTATTTTGCTCAATATCTTTTCAGGTTAAAAACTTTATGTGTTTAATATAACACTGAAATGGAAATATCTTTGGGAAGAAAAAGATTAGCAACAGACAAATACATTGATAACTTAATAGGCAAAAGTATCTGAGTGTCTTACATGAAAGGCTTGAACAAATAAGACAGCAATCTGAAAAATGTAGGAGTAAAGGAACTGATTAATTAAATGGTTCATTTTGCTTGGGGACTAATTTTGTCCAAATGCAAATAAATATTTTATTCTTCTCTTAGTCATTTTAATAATGTATGTGTATAGATTATTAAAATGACTAAGAGAAATAATCACTCATAAATTTACTAACTTAAGTTGATTTGCCTCCCTTCCCATTACAGATGGGGCAGGAAATATATAAATAAATACACATTGATAAGTATTATATGGTTTGATGTTTATTCAGTGCAGTATTATTGATATTAAAACAATTTCCAATTTTCAATACAATAATAAAAATATAAATTGCGATACCCTGTATATGTTTAAATTTACTTAAAATTATACCTACAAGTTTAATTATAGCAAGTGACCATATATACAAAACAATACATGCACAGGTTTCAAAATAACAGATCTCTCAGTATTCAGATCTCTATATTAGAGTATACACAGTATATCCTCCTTGGTTGTAAGAGTAAAAAATGTGTATCCATCACTCACACCATACAACCACCAACTTCAATCACAAAGAACAGAGAATCATCTTGTCGTCCAAAGTAGCATTCTTTTTATTGGAGTAAGAAAGAATTTGATCAGTTGAGACTGGAAGTAAGCGCAAAAATTACCATATTTCAGGAGCCAATCTTAATTTTCATTTTCTCTTTCAACAAACAGGTAATTCTAGTATCCTAGTAAAATTCAAATTACCTAGTTTGACTATCTAGGCTTGGGGTTCGCAACCCTTGAATGTGTACCAAAAATGGCATACCAGTGACTTGTTTATGGCACACAAAACTTAATCATTAGATTCCCTTTTTGACTTACTTTTATTCTTTGTCCTCTTTCATGTATATCATTATCTCATGTATTTTTATTTTCTGCCCTTCAGAGATTGTGCAGAATGTCATGATCATCAACTAAGAAAAGGTGTCATTCAAATAAAGAGAATATTAAAGAATTTAATGAATACTGGAGTCAAAGATTTGGCATAATTAAGAAAGACAATAAAGCCTTATGCATTTTCTGTTCCTAAACAATCGTTTGTAGGATTTCTTCTGTAAAGAGACATTTTGAAAGTGTTCATAAGAACTTAAGCAAAAGAACAAGAGAATTCATTTCTCATGAACTGAGCAAGAAAAAAAAACAGGCTTATGAACTTTATTACAAGTAGGCCCAGTTTCAACTTAGTTGCTCTTAGTTTTGACATTTCAAAAGGTATTGCTGAACATGGAAAGCCACTCAGTGATTAGGAGTATATTAAAGAAGCTTGGCTAGAATATTCGCCTTCCCTTTTTGATAATTTTTCAGAAAAGGAAAAGATTATTTAGTGCATTAATGATGTGTCTGTGAGGAGGAAAATAGTCTCAGCTGGGTGAGACATATTTTCTTGATTTTGTAGGAATGATGAAGTATGTGAAGAGATGGCTTCCCTTGTAACATTATGTGGGCATACTATTGGGGCTGAAATATGTAAAACAATAAATTCACATTTCAAATGTAGTATTCGCCACAACAGATGGTGCCCCCAGCATGACTGGTGAGAAGGCAAGATTTATAAATCTGTTTGCAAAAAATGTTGGTCATCCACTGATAGGTTTTCATTGCATCATACATGAAGAGGCTTTGTGTGCAAAAGCTGGCCTAAAGGAACTTCAGGAAGTGATGCAAACAGTTATCAAGGTTGTTAATTACATTTCTACTCGGAGATTAAATTGAATATTAAATTACAGCACACTAATAAGACACTTGATGTTATGTTTAGTTACATAAAATCTTTTCAAATGAAACTATAAGTTTTTAAGAGAGATGTAGATAATAAGAGATTTAGATACTTCCCAAACTTGTCAATTTTTTTAATTCCTCTTTACTACAAGCACCTATACCTATATTGTCTTGATATATGACTATATTTTTTACCCCCTTTGATAGAACTTTTTCAATTGCCTTTTGAAAAATATGGGTTGAAGTCTTCTTAACTCCAAATGGAAGACAAGTCCATCTTAGTAAGCCAATCGGAGTATTAGTTGTAGTGACTTTATATCCTTTTAATAGTCCTATGTCAGGTTCTTCCAACTTTATAGTTTATTAATTTCACTGTATCCAATTTTAGAATTTCTATTCCCATAGAGTTCATGATTTTTTGTGCATTCTACAAAAGTGATGGGAATAATCTCAAAACGTTTTTTGTCTTCAAAAGAGCCTAGAATTTTGATGACAGATCCATCAAATTGTTTTAAATTAAGATTATGGTTTCTTAATTTGAGTTTACCCATTTTTCCCTAGAAATTCCTTGGGATCACGGTAACATCACTCCCCATGTCAACCTGTAAGGGAAAAGTTATGCCATTCAATTTTACAGTCTCTCTACTTTTTGCAGGTGTTCTTATCGAATATACTTCTGTATTTTCAGCATGAGTATATTTTCTACCCTTTCTATTCTCTTTTTATATCTGCAGACTGATTGAAAATGGTCTTTTCTTTTACAGTTTAAGCATAATTTTCCTAGGGCTGGACATTTGTTTTTGTTTCTTTTGTGTTCTTTGTTGCAATATTTGAACTTAATTAGGATTTTAGTTGTGGTGTATGCTTCCACATTGTTTTTAGAATTATTAAATTCATTAATTAATTCTAATTGCTGCAAGAATTCTAAACTTGGTTTTAAATTCATATCATTTACTTGTAGTCTTTCTAGGATCTTGTTTGTATATAACATCCTACATGCCTTCAATTAATCTTAGAAGGATCAATTAGTCTTTTACAGACATTTCTCTCAAACCCAGTTTTTCAAATTCACATTATCTTTGCTGCTTTCAATCTGTGTAAGTATTGCATTACAGTTTCATTCAGGTTCTGTCTATTTTCCAGAAATTTGTTCTTTCTGCAATAACCAGCTTTTTTTTGGTTGCATGTTTCTTTTTATAATGGTTGAAATTTCCTCATATCTTAAGCCTTCCAGTATTTTATGGGTACACCATAATGGATATTTTCTTCATGGTTTCACATGCTGCTGAAACCAAAAATAAATCAGTAATTTCATTCTTCCCTCCAAAGGCATTCTTGTCTCAGTTTCTTTACCCAAGCCAATGATGTGAAACATCTAATCCATGTTTCTGTGTGCTCCAGTTCATCCAGCACAGTTAGGGATCCTATCAGTGACACCATATTGTTATGAAGTAGAGTAATCTCTGAAATAGATGTTGTCAGGTCAACAGGTCAACTGGCATTCACTGTGGCATTCTGCTTTTATAATAGTATCTCATTTATAGACAATACTACAATGTGGAAAAATTTGGCCAGTTTTGGCATGCACTCTCAAAAAGTTTGCCTATCCTTGATCTAGGCTTTTCATGTTAACTAATCAAATCAATTCCTATTTCAACTATCCAACAGGTATAAATTCCCTTACTGGTAAAAGCTATACCAGTAACTCTGTTACATTAAGAATTTCAAACTAAACTCTTTATTCAAACCAAAGAGGTAGATATCTTTCACCAGTTAATTTTATCTAGTTATTTTATTTACTCATATGATACTACTGGTATCTTCTAATGAAGTAGAGAATATAACTTTTTTCCACTATCCAGCCCAGGGATTGAGCTCATAACTGCCAAATAACTCAATTTGCTTAATCAATGTTTTATCTGTTAAGTCATATGTTCCATAAGACGGAGGGTACAATGACTGGAACATTGTGATGATAACAACCAAGATGAGGACAAAAGATTGAACAACTCAGTATATAATAATGATAATCCCTTATCTCAAAAATTAAAAAGCATAATCAAAGCCAATATTAGATAATTTTAACTTACCTTGAATTATCTTTGTAAATGATAATTCCCAAGCATACATCTTTACCAAACAAATGCAAGAGAACAATTCATTCATAATGTTTACCTGAATGAAATAGAGAAAAAACTTTATCTAAAAAATATCAAAGATCTATACATAAGATTGTAATATATGTTGTTATTGTGTGATACAGAATAGACAAAGATTTATTTATTGGCAAAAACTATACCAAAAATTTGCTTAGAGCAAAGATTGTAAAAAGATCTGAATAAAGCACACTAACAAAAATATAATTGTTAAGTAGCAAAAAATCCGTGCTTTACAATAAATTTGAATGTAATTATTTCCCCTTTTTAGAATAAGTATCTTAGTTCATTACTTACACGTTGGTCTGTTGTTTCTGCAATCTTTTTCCGGTAATAAGCTGCTAACTTCATCAGCAGGAGCTGGAATATTTGATAATTTAGTAACAGCAGCCACTTTTTCAATATTACAATATTTAATATCTAAAAGAAATACTTTCATTAATGAAAGTAAAATAACTAGTAATTTTATTAAAATCTTGTACAATTTTTTTTTCAAGATAAACATAAATTTAGCATTTTGACTTAAATTTTTTTAATTTTTTTAGAATTTTGGTTATATGTTTCACTCATTCTATTCTTTGTATGTCTAATATAAATTTCTTTCCAGTTAATTATTTTTTATGATCTTATTTTTTAACCAAGAGCTTAACTTGCTTCTATTTGAAGCAATTAAATTTAATCATATAATAAACAATAAAACTTTTTATAATAAAAGAAGAAATTATTTTTACAAAATATAAATTAAATGAGGCCCTTAAAACAAAGTTGAAGTGAATAAAAAAACTTTATTTTAATCAAGTTATGACCCCTGTAATTTTTCTATCTGCATAAGTGACATAAAAATAGAAAAGTAGTAGATGTTAAGATTATTCATCATTTTTCTTTTGTCAAGATAAAACTGAAATATTATTTCTTGGCCTTACTATCAATATAATAGTAAAGCTGTGGCATTCTTTACTAAAGACATGTCATAGTGTAGCTCTTGTCCAGAATTGGAGGCAAAGACTTTTAATTTTAGTTTTGATTTGTAGCAGTTTGCTGCTATAGTTGGTTTAAGAAATTCAAGAAAATTTTTACTTCTACACTTGGAATAACTTATTTGTTTGAAGTAAGTATAAGATTATTTATTTATTTCAAACTATATTATTTTATGTTTTCATTGCAAAAACAAACTTTTTGTGAAAAATAAACTAAAAAATGTAATTTAGGAAAGTTGGTCTTGTTATTTAGAAGTTAATTTAACATTTTTCTTCACTTAAAGTTAATTTAATATTCTTCTCTATGAAATTTTTATTCATTAAAGCAAATCCACTAATGATCAACTTTATTTATTTTGTATAATGTATATTTCTGTTTTTAACAAAATGAAAAAGTATGAATTTTTACCATGCTTCTTATACTGAAATGTAACGTTTTAATTTTACTTGATTTAAAGAAATAATTTATTAATCCAATTTTTTGTAGTTTTTCTTAGTAAAAATGTTACAAAGTCTCTCCCAAGAAAGTTAAATTTAATAATGTTTTGCTTAATTCTTAACAGACTTTTCTTCCAAAGACTTATTATTTTTTTTATTTGATTCTGTGTTCACACTTCAAAATTTATGTAAAAATGCTACTATTAATTACATAAAGTTAATTTAATATTTTCTCTATGATAGTGTTAATCATAACATTTATATTGATGATAAATTTAAATTTTTCATGGGTAATTTGTTTTTCTTACTAAAAGTTAGTTAAAAAATTGTTTAATGCTAAAAAACATAAAATAGAAACAAACATAATATTTTATACTACAAAATTAATGAAAAATCATTTAAAATCATAAGTAAATTTAATAAATTTAATCCAATATTTTTAGATATTGTAAATGTAGTGTACAAAATATTAACCCTAATCCCGCTGAAACATTGATTTTTAAGAGTTGATTTTTTTCTACTTCTCCTTTTCTACTTCTATAATCATAAAAGATTATATTTTTGATTAAATAAGTCAACAAAACAATAGATACTTTATTTCTAAGCAATAAAATAAAAAAGTTACTTTCATGTCTATTTTGTTTCATGCCATATTTTTGTTCCAGAATTCAGTTCTGATATAGTTTTTGTTTCATTAAAACTGTTTTAACATGGTTAATTAATTCAAAGATTAAAATAAATGTATATAACATAGTGTACACTCTTGTTAAGAAGGTGAGAGGTGATGGATTTGAAACTCCATCAAATTATATATTAATTATAAAAAGTTTAGTAAAGAAAAATATACCAAGATAAAGAGGATCAATTTTTCAAGTCAAATTAATTATGCTCTTAATCTTTACTTTTTTCTTTGAATTTCTTAACCTGACTACTATGGTGAACTACCACAAATCTAAACTAAAAATCTTCACTCCCAGTGGAACAACGAGCTTTGCAACAGGCTTCCAGTTCTGGGTGTGAGATGCACTATGAGTAAAGCAGAAAAAATTAACCAACAATTAATTCAACTCTAAAAGTAAAATTGTGGATTTAATTCTAGGAAAATTAAACAACTGATCACATCTTCTCATTAATTGTGTAAAATGCAATAAAATAATTTAAAATATAAAACAAAGATAAAAAAATGAAAGTAAATTAATGAATGAGCATAAAAGTAAACTACAAAAGTACACAATGAATTTGGTTATAACAAAAATATATATAAATTCAAAAGCATTAACCACTATAAAATTTTGAGCTATAACATAAATGTTTCTAACAAGGGAAAAATGAACCTTAATATTTTTATTAATAGTTAGTAACCTTATGTAATATCTGTATATATTTGGCAGAGGAAAATAAAAACAATGACTTACCACAAGTGGATAAAATCCAATAAATACAGCAGCTCCAATCAATGAAAATGGACCCAAAAGGAAAATGTTGTAGATAACCCCACAAACAAGGACAAATGGGCTACCAACAGCAAGGGGAGCCAGGACAGTAGCATCACAGAATCGTTGTCCATCTAATGTACACATATTGATTAGCTGTTTCAAATATACAGCAAAATCATAAAATGGTTATAGAAATAAAATTCATTTAATTACTATATTACAGTTAGATAGGCTTATCATAATTTCCAAACCTCAAATTGAGACAGTTTTCAATTTTCATTATAGGTTTGGTGTTCTTGTTTTTCAAGACCCAACAAATACCCTTTAAGCATCAGGGTTGACATGCATAAACATACACACAAAATAAATACTGATAGCAAGACAGACACCTCAAATCAGGATAGTTCTAGCCAAACTGGGACATATGGTAAGCTTACTTTTAAAGTATTTATCAGAAAATAATTAAACATACACAGCCTCTTCAGATTTCTTTCAAAATTAATTTTTTCTTTTATTCATATGTAAATTGATTCCAAATTAGTTATCTTTAACTTCAAGTTTTGATACATGATTCAATACACCTGAAAGAAAAATATATTGTACTGAATTTACTCCTTTCTAGTAAAATAACCAAAGACATTATTTAAAAAGAGACCAGATAAAAAAATTGTATATTCTGAGGAAAAGAGCTGTTTCTGCTAAACAATATACTAACAGTAGAGAAAAGATTTATCTTTAGATACTGTTGGCTTTGTTAAGTATTGAGTATTCTGCTTGTGTCTTCTGTATCACTTTCTTTTTCTACTACACACCATGAATGTCGTCTACAGAATGACTACTGTCCTCTGGCAAGCAATGTATATATTAAGCAGCAGGTGTTAATACATTTGCATAGATGTGATGTTCATTTCATCAAATCACAGTCGTTGTGCAGGTGCGCATGTAGGCTTCAAATCAGATTTCCTGTTACAGCTGCAGCAACTTGAATATGCTTCGTACTAGGTAAGTGATGCTCTGCATTACTACATTGGATACAATCAGTTAGAAAATATTATGCTCAATAACAAACTCTTTGTGTTTCATTATAATTAAAATTGAAAATATTAATAAATAATTTAAAGAAAATTAAAAGTTTAATTAATGAAACAACTTTATTAATAATAAAATCTTACTTACTTCCCCAGCAGTTTTTTCCTTCATACTTTTCACCAGCATAATTTTTTTATAGAGTAAAGCTGTAGCTGCAACTTTTACACGTACACCTTTGAAATTGTCAAACAAAATTAAATTTTTAAATTATTATTATTAATATTATTAACATTAATAATACAATGAATGAAAAATAGGTCAGAAGAACAAGAAAGATTTTGGAAACTAGATTAAACAGTAGAAGACTAATGAGAGAAGTAGAAACAAGAGTAGTATTCAGGCCCCTTACTAAACTGGACAAGAGAAGAATTGAGAAAGTTTTATTAAATAACAAAGAAATTCATAACCAAAAAAAAAAAATTTAAAAAGAAGAGAAGAAAAGATCATGTCATCATTAACTTGGAGACAACTATAATTGGAAGAGTAGGTCACAAAACCAACAAGGTAAGTTACCATTTCCTTTACACCTACCTCTGATCTCATGATCACAGATATAGCAACTTCACCATACTGAAATGGTCATCTATTCTTCAGAAGACACATTTTCCAAGGAATTTTTGTGTGCATCTAGCTCAGGTCCCAAGTCATCTCCATCTAGAGAGCCTCTGAATGCATGGAATCCAATCGCCCTTGCACTTTCAGAGAATTTGCTTGATGTGTTACTAATGTTACTTACTGATATGATAGAATCCATGATGAAGAGACTATCTTTCAGGTGACATGGCATTTCATCAATCAAATTTATCTATGGTCTGTTGTTATCAATGACACACCTTATCTGATATCTTTCATTTTGTACAGTATGTGCTCTTTGCAATGTTCCAGTAGAGGCATTGCAACAATTTCATTTAACTTGATTTTATACTGATGGCTCATACTAACAGGTATAATAACAGGTGAGATCTTTTGGTTTTGATCTTTTTGGTATACCATCTCCATTATGGTTTCCTGACCACAATTCTTTTAACACACAGATGGTTTCACTCAACATTGCCTGAGGGTACATATACACATTAGTTGGTCTCCTAACTCATCTAAAAGCTCTTTGGCCAACTGACTATGAAACACAATATCATTATCTGTTAGGAGTTCTGCTGCATATTATTTTTTGATGACACTTGTTGAATTCTTTTAACACAGAGGTCATCAAATTGCAAATTGACTAGGGCCAAATTTGATTAGTGGTGGCTTCCATTATAGTGGCTAATGTCCATTTCCTATCCATTCCACACATCAGTCACATTCAACTTGCCTTGTAGGCAGCCAACATGTTAGGGTTGGGTCACTTGACTGCATTCCCCTTGAATTCCCTGACTACCACCTTGACAACTGCCTTCAACATGATGGATAGACCACAAAAAGTATATTGTATGATGCTTGGATGCCCACTTTGGCAGTGTATGGGCCTTTACTAGGCCAAGACCAACTACATCTACTGAAGTGACACAAGTAGTTATTACTTTTTTTTGTGTATTGGGCCATTTTTGTGGGACTCTCATCAGCCTGCCCACCTGATCTGATCAATATTATGTCAATAGACAATCAAGGTGATGCCAAGATTTTTTAAAAAAGAACTTACCGTATTGAAAAAAAGGCCCCAAACTTGATAAAAACAAAAGTTTTATTGTCAAAATGTTTATGTTATTATTAAGATGAAAGACCAAAGTATTTTTTTATTACTTTATTAAATGTTTGAATCCTTTCTAGCATGTTCAAAATTTTGGTCAAATATCCTGTTTTTCTTGCATCAGCAGGTGGGCCAATGATTAGTATAGGGATTTTTAATGTCTTTTTTAGTATTAAAAACACATTGTTTTGGAAATTCTTGCAAAAATCAAATAATTATCGGATTTTAATGAAATTTTCAGGACTTATGCAAAAATTATTTTTGAAATTTTACTTTTTTTTTTTTTTTTAGAAAATCTTGGTAAAAATATATTCTATTTTATATCTGTTACCCTCATGATATTTTGAGAAATTAAAATTTCAGCCTCTTCATATTTATATTACTTAAAAGCAGGACTCCTTGGAGAATTTAAATCATCAATTAGCAAAAATCTATTCTAAATCATAAAATAAAAAATGCAATAAAATTATTACATTATTTAATTAGAAAAATTTTAAATTACTTTTATAAATAAGATATGTTAAGGATACTATTGTCCTAAAAAAAATTCTTTTGATGATTGATGAATTTTTATGAGAATTGTTTTCATTTTTTTAAATTTTAATTAGAAAAATTTATTAAATTTTAAATCTTTTAAAATTCTGTATTAATTTCAGCCTTTTTCAATGATATTAAGTGTAATCATAAATAGAAATGCTTAATCCAAATTATCAAACACCAATATTTTTAAAAGAATTTTGAATTTTTTTTGTATATGTATAAACATGCCCATTTTTGTAAGTACAAGTAACCATACATAACATTATCAGAAAATAAGAATCATAACTATAATAAATTTAAAGTCAACATATCTAAAATTCAATAAAACATTAGATTATGGAGAATATTTTTTCCTAAAATTTTTAAAACTACTGAGTACTTAAAAATTATATAGTAAAGGTGCTCACATCATTTTCTTAAATTATGTTTTACAGATAAAGTCTCCATAGAACAACATTAGACATGTTATCAGGCTGTCAACACAGATAATCTCAGGTTAAAAACACAGCTACTGTTGGATTAAAAAAACACATTTCTGCAAAATTTTATACTTAAATTAAATAATATTTGTTTCAAATTAGATTATTTATACTTTAAATCAGCTAATATTCCTGAAATAAAGTTTCAGAAAAGTATATTTTATTTTTGGAATATTTTTAATAAAGAGAATTACATTGCAATGAAAGATGACTAAAAAAGGGTGCTAATCTGTCATTTTATAAAAAAAAAAAGCTCCTTCCAGTCAATATAAATTAGTTTTAAATTAGTTTTTGAAATACAGCAAAGTATTTTGCTTATTGGAAATATTAAATTTAACTTATTAGTTTGAAATTAAAACTAAAATAAAAGCTTCAAGAAAGATTTTTTATTTTTTAAAATTAATTTTAAACTTTACGTATTGTTTTATTTTCTGTTTTTTTTGGGGGGGCGGGGGGGCACCTATTTATATTCATGCACTAACTTCTCAAGAGGGTTGGAGCACTGGTGCACTAAGTTGACCTCCTTTAGCATGACATCAAGCTCCACCACATTGATGTATTGCACATCCTTTAATGGTGCAGCCATCATGTGTCTTCTATGATGGTTCCTCCAAACTCCAGCAAGATTCTGGTAACTTATGTCAACCCACGTCTCGAAACTATGTGTTCATCTATACATCACTTACTGCATGAAGGTTCATTCTGATGCAATCTAGCAACAAGTTCTGCAATCATGTTTTAAGGAGCCTATCATTTGCTTTGTCATTCCAATCAGCTGTTACTGCTGTCACTGCATTTTAAGAAGGTTGTTGCAACTTGACACCAGCTACAAACAGAGAGGTATCCCACCATTTTTCCAACACAGTAGCTGTAGTGGTTAGAGAACTTTACAACACATTGTTAGCTCCAGCACCTCTGGAATCTCACTTCTATGCTTTTAATGAAATATGTGGTGATCCACTCATGATATAAATCAAACACTCAAACTCTGTTATCTAACCACCCCAGCTCCTTACATGTTAAATCAGAGTCAGCTAAATATTCTTTTACTCAAGGATGCAATATTTTCATCAATATATATATATATATATATATATATACACATATATATATATTAGTTATAGGGAGAGATAAATCAAACAACCAGTTATAAGCAAGCATATACATGTGTGCTGGTTGCATATGCAGGCAAGAAGATAAATATTCCAATATGAGGTGCACCTTTCCCCTATTCTGGTGCAAGAGAATAGTTTTCAATTGCCCACATGGTTGCTATGAGTGATTCTTCAATTGCTACTTCATCCTTCATTATTGCATGGGCATTAGCTAATAGTTGGTTTATAGTCATCTCATCCTTCTGTGATGATGTGAATTTTACCAAAGTGGGGGTTTACTTGGGTGTTATGTGTTTACAGGTAGTTATCTTCAGATAACATCATAATCCAAATATAGACCAATTTATGGGATTTCAAAAATACATACAAGGATAATTAATACAAAGATATATATTGCATGTACTGATAAAAATTTATATCTTTTAAAATAAAATATACAGTATTCAAAGAGTTCATAAGTTCCTATCAGAAAGTTCTCGTGTTGAATGTTTAAATCCTTTAGCATATAATAGAGAGAGTGAAAGAGAGAGAAAAGTGTCCTTGTAAATCTGTATGTATATAAGTATTTCTTGATAGTAATAACCCTTTTGAGTCTCTATGGGATTTTAAAGTGTCCAAAGATTTAGGGTATAGGAAACTGGTTGAAATTATTTCACTGCCTGGTTCCTTTGCCTAGTTGTCACTGTCTGTCTTTACACTTTTTTTCGAGATAATGGAATTCATTTCATTTCTTGATTTTTGATTGGTTCACAGATGTGATTCCTGAGTTATGACTAGACCTTTTTCTTCGCCTACATTTAGAAATGATAACATTTTGGCCTCTTTTATTTTTTTTATCTTTTTGTTTTTATTTGTTTATGGCAAACCAAAATGATTTGCCAACTTTTAGTTTTCTATTTTTTTTATTTTTGAAATAGTGAATTTTTATTTTTCTGTTACTATAATGATACTCACAGCATGTGTCTGCCATAATTTGATAGTCATGCCAGACCTTAACCAGATACTCCTCCAAATAATAAATAATAAATAGTGAATTTTTATTTTTCTGTTACTATAATGATACTCACAGCATGTGTCTGCCATAATTTGATAGTCATGCCAGACCTTAACCAGATACTCCTCCAAATAATAAATAATAAATAGTGAATTTTTATTTTTCTGTTACTATAATGATACTCACAGCATGTGTCTGCCATAATTTGATAGTCATGCCAGACCTTAACCAGATACTCCTCTAAATAATGAAGTATGTTTTGGCTGGTATACAAGATAAACATCAGACTCACATGTTATAACACAGTTGACAGGCTGTAAACTGTTCATAAGCCATAAAAGAGTCGGTCACAAAAGCAATTTGTAATGCCTGTTTTTTTTGTTTTTTTGTAGTCACAAGACTTGTTTTCTTTGCTAAGCTGCTTATATATAGTGGAAACACATTTTGCAGTCAACTTGTGCTTTTTTGAGTCATTCTGATATAAGTGGGCTTGTTGTTGTGCCATTAATTCAGGCATCAGATTTATATCAAATGAGTTGTCTGCCATGTCTCAGAGTGTGCTGCAATAGCTTTGAAGAAAGAGTAGACTGCAAAATAAGCAAGTCATAAAATTTGTAAGCATTCACCCAGTTCCTGTACTGTCAATATAACTTTCCCCTGGTAACAAACAAAGCAATTTTTAAAGGCCTTGACAAGATATCAATGTTTACAATTGATCAGGAACAAACAAATTTGTATGCATGTGTATATAATACTGACCTTGACTAAGTGGGTAGTCTTTTTTGCAGTAGCTGCATGTGATGGGGGTGACTGATGAGGTAAGTTACCATTTTCTGTAATGGATTCCTTATTGAGGAATTTCTAACTAATAACAATTCTCAAATCCTTTGTTAGAATCAGCCATACCGTTTCCATATTTGTATTCAGTTCTTCTGCTATGAGTCACACATTTAATCTTTAGTCTGAGCACACTAAGGTTCACACACTCCCCACATTTGCATCTGTTCTTTGTGTTTTTAACTTCCCACTTCTAGCATAATTGTGCATATCTTCTCATCCTTCCTGTACCTCTCAAAAATACCCAATTTATTTTCAAAGCATGTTCACCATAAGTTATAATAGGGTCAACATTTCACTAACACTTTTACAATCTTTAGACAAAACATGATGTTAATCTGCTGCTCTAGATTCTTTTCAATTATTTTCCAACAGGAACAAATAAAACTTCCTCTATTGCTCAGCAAAAAAAAAAAAAATGACTCATCTGGTTTGCATCTCAAGAAAGTGGAAATTGGAAGATTTACAGACAAGCTCAGGTACAAATGTTTACTTAACTCATTATCCTAGCAACATACTGTGGTCATTCTGGGAATTAAATTGCCACACCTCATATATTAAACCAAAGACAGAGAGAACACAAAAAATAGTAAACAGTAAAATAGTAGGAAGACAGAGATAAGATTATCAATTATATAAATAAAAGCAGCATGTTCATTTAAAATGAGTACAAAAATGAACATAACTAGGTAGGAAAAGAGATCCACTGGAAATTATTTTTTTATTTGATTTGTCTGTTTAACAGCATATCAACTCCTTATGGGTTATTTAATATTGAAATTTAATTTTCTTGGGAGCTTGAATAAATATGATATATATTATTCTGCTTTCACAATTGAATACATGGTAGATGATATTCATCTTTTGTGCATATACATGTCTGCGTGGCCATAATTACTAGAGATGTTGATATGTGTGTTTTATGTTGTAATTTTGTTGAAGTTATATTTTGGAATACAGTTTGATTTCTTTAAGAAATTGTAGGATATTTTATGGATTAATATCATGAAAGAGTTCTTTCATGTTGGTTGGTTATTTTGTTTAGGGGCGTATCAACCTCTATGTGTTATTTAATGCTGAAATCTAAATATTTTGAACAATTTTATGGCTTCAACTAAATATATTTTGAACATAATTGTATGCCTTCAACTACAGGTAAAATCTATTGTTATTTTGCTATAAATTGTATTATTGGTAATTTCACTATAAATATATAATGTTCGTAATTTTTTTATATAAAAATGAATTGCTAGTATTTTTACTATAAAAATATATTTTTATACTCTTATAATGTTTTGTTTTTGCGGTGGGGTTCACTGTTTATCCATAGCTGGGACCCTGGCTCAGGGTGAACCTGGGAACAACAGCAATTAAGAGGTGGTGTCACACTCCTCAAAACCTCCAATCTTCTGATCAGAGTTTTACTTTGGATCATATTGACTCAGTTTACCATAATTTCTAAGTTACTAAATGGGACAGTTTTTCAATTTTTAGTCTAGGCTTAGGTTCTTTTATAATATAATGTATAATTATATCTCAACATCCCTTAAGCTACACAAAAACAAATACTGATAGCATATCTCTAGTGGGAAACCAGAACAGTCTCAGTCAAACAGGAACAATTGGTAAGCATAATATTGATAGAAAATTACTATTCATATAGATATATCATAAGTTTTAAACAGTAGTTCATAATGTTAGTTCATACAGCATTGAACATATCCAATGTTTACATGGTAAATCTTTAAATATTCCATTTAGATATCAACTGAATTATGTAAATAAAATATAAAAAGCAGTGACAGTAAAGTGTTTTCATTAGCAAATAGATAGCAATCTATATATTGTATCAATACCAATATAACAGAGATATAATAAAATTATTTGTCAAATACTCATGATCATTTCTGAAAGGTTTTGTGGAAACCATTTAAAAATAACAAAGTTACATTATGATATTAAAAAACATCAAGTGTCCAATACATTAAAATTTCAATTCTCAAATAAAGATGCTTTCAAAGATGATGTTACCAACAAAACTTACCTGTTGTATAATTCATACTCCACATAGTAGCAAACGAAAGACTACGTATGAGCTCACTTATTAGAAGACCGATAACAAGAAGAATACCTTCCATTAAAACTTTGTTCTCAGATGACATATAATCCAAAAGTTGGTGGATTAAATAAAACTGAAAAATACAAGTTTTAGAATGTATTCATTACAGCAATTTTTGAAGTAAGAAGAAATAAAGTTAATATTTATAGTCCTCTAAGCTTGATGTCAAAATTTTAAACTTCACAATTTCAACTGAAAACCAAATCAAACTTCAATCAATATCTAGTGATTGAAACTTTCTCTTAGGATTTACAATAAAAATAAATGAATCAGATACAGAAAACTATAGAAATAAATTTGTTTAGCTTAAAACTGTTGTTTAAACTGACATATTTAAAAGGGTAACAGACAGTAATTACTCTCTTTCTAGCACACATAATTATACGTATTCTAAAAGAAATATACATAAAAATTGCAATTTTAAAAAGTGATTTTCATAAATATTAACCCAAATGAATAAAATAACATGATACTTTTAATAAAGAAAACAATATGAATTATCAAGATAAAGCATTAAGGTGGAATGTCTCTTTGTAGACAAGAGAGGTGACCTGAAGGATGGGAGAGTTGGTCAGACCTTGTGTTGAAGCTTGTGCCAGATGATTCACAAAAGTAGAAGGGTTGGACACAACCATTATAAAAGTTTTAGAAATTTCATACATCAACAACTACTGTTTTTGCAAAGGATCATTTGCAATTTGGAGAGGAAGATGAACAAACTCAATAGACACAAAATGTCTATACTCTTTTATATATATAGGGCAGTGATTCTGTTTGAGTTGTACTAGTGTATGGAAAGTGGTTAGTGACTGGAGGTATTGAGAAATTTGATATTTCTAAGTGATGGAGTAGTAGATGAAAAATATTAGACTTTTGTGATAATATAGTTGAAAAACGAATTATTTGTCATCTTAAACTTGACAATTTGCCATAATTTATGTATGACTTAGATTATTGTTTTAGCTTGCAGATAAATGGATGGTAATTTTGTAATTATATTGTACTTGTAAAATATTAAAAACAAATATTGCCATCATTTTTAACTGCACGGTTAAACTAGTGTAAAATAATCTCCAGAATGCATCACTTTCAGGAATGTCAGTTATTGTTAATAAAACTGTACAGTAGTACACTAACTATAAAATAGTATAATAATCCATAAAATAACAGCAAATTATTCAATTCTGAATATAAATATATATCTTTTTGAGATTACAAGTGTCTACCTGTTCATATTTCAGAAAGAGATACTATCAACCCAGTAAGCTGCTGTACAGAATAACTATATCAATAAAATAGAATGGAACACATTGTACAAAATGAAAAGAAAATAATATTTACTTACAGGTGTGAATAAACTGCATGCTAAACTGATGATTAAAAAGACACTGGCCAAAATCATCCTTGTTTTTACAAACTGTATGAAGACATTCTTAAAAGAAGCTGCAGGACCTTTTTTATTAATTTCTTCATTCCACAAATTTTCAAGCCTAAATTGATAGAAAATTAATTAATATATTACTTTCTTTGTACACAATGTTTCATTTGCATGAATTTTTAAGTAACATGACATCATTGATCATTAATAACTATAGTGAACAATTACATAAAGTATATAAGTCAGAGTGGCTTACATCTAGTGTAAAGAAAAATAATAAATTCTTACATCAATATGTGATATGTAGAAGCAACATTTTGTTCCTTTGAAAATGGCATGACTCTTTCCCTACCCCTTAGTTATTCCAGAAGTGTATTATTCTGAAACGTTGGCTTTTATAAAACTTAGCATGGTTTGACCAATAGCAATCCACATGCTGATTGGTCAGACTGGAGGATAACATTTGACTGTGTGACTGAAAACAAAGTCAAGAACGCTGATTGGTCAGTTGGCCATGGTTTTGGCATAATAAAAAGGGCTGGAGCAGTGAAAAGGGGCTGGCAATTTTTACGTTGGTGACACATGCCTGAATTTGAGAATGGCATCTGCAGAAGGAGCATTCAGTGTTGTACAAACAGTGTCTGCAGAATAGAACCTCATTTATCTATAGAAATTACTACAAACTTTTTATTATAACAAGTCTATTTCGGCCTTCTTTCCATTCATGGCAGACAGAGGTCTTGATATTTGGCTAATACTAGAATTCAGTGGGGCTGTTTCTGATCAACCAATTGTAGAATGAATTGAAAACATGGAGTTGCTTTGCAAACTCTGAGAATTGAAAAAAATCAAGCGGATACTGCCACTGCACTTGCGAGCCGGGGCTCTTGCTGTGTTGCAACAACTGACTAAGGAGCAGTGGTCAGATGCAGAGCAGATTAAGCAAGCCCTTATAACCACATATATAGTAGATTCATTCAATGTGTTTGACCAATCTGTGTCACAATGATTTCGCCCAGGGGAAAACCATAGATGAATTTTTAGCAGAGTTAAAATGTTTAGCTCTATTGGTCGGGGAGGGGGGAAACTGCCCAAGCAATAGATGGTGTGTGCATTTGTTTCTGGACTGCCACAACAAATCAAGCAACTTCTCTAGGCATCATCCAGAATGGACATCATGACTTTGGACCAGATTTTAACTCGGGCTCGGGTAGTTATGACCAATAGCAAAGAGTCCGATGAGTCAGTCGCAGCATCAACAAACACACAATGACGCTGCCACATGGAAGGGCAGCATTATTTGTTTTAAGTGCTCTGGTCCCAACCATCTGGCTAAGGATTGCAGGCAGAGCTACTTAAAGAGGGTGGGCACTCGGGTATGAAGATCTCACCGCGAGATACAGTGTTTTTGGTGTAATAAAGTCAAGCACATCTCATCAGAGTGCCAGGGAAACTGCTCCAGGGAACAAATGTTAGTGCCAGTCTTCATCCCAAGCAAGTAAAGAAGAAGGTACTGCCTATTATCAAGGTATATATAGATGGAAAGCAGTGTACAGCTCTGGTTGACTCTGGCTGCTCAAAGACACTAGTGAGCAAATGCACATGCTGCCACTGATGACTGACTGAGATGAAAGCACTAACGACTAACAGTAAGGTCTTAATATGCCATGGACATGGCAGTATTATGCTGAACACTGGTCATGCTCAACCTGTGAGCATTGATGCCCTAATTGTGGACAGACCACTACGTGGGTTTAATCTTCTTGGGATTGACATAATCAGACAACTGATAACTAGATCGAGACATAACTAGATCGAGAGAAGTTTATTTTTTTGAAGAAAACATGCCCCAGTGTGCTGGTATTTCCATCAATGAGCACAACTTTTACTGTCATAAAAAAGTATGGATGGCCTCATGGAAATGGATGAATGGACAACCACCTATAGATCTAAAGAATAGAATGCCAGAATATGCAGTACCTAACTATGCACGGGGCAAATATGAGGTGGAGTTCCAGTTGTAGCTGGATAATAGGTGGCTGCAGCCATATCCCAAAGGTGAACTTGGCCCACCTAAGTGTCTGATTCAATTAATGGCAGTTATACAAGAGAGCAAACAGAAGGTCCGTCCAGTATTGAATGTGGCACCTCTCATTATGAGAACCATAATTGATGCAGTAATGTCTCAAAACAAAGTCATTAGGAATGACACATTGGCATATATTCATGACATTTATTGGTTCTTGTCACACATGTGAGAGAGCACCTGTCCAATTACAAACTAATGACCCAGCGAGATTGGAAAACAGAACTAAGGTGTTGGGCTTGCAGGTCTGAGGGGATAACAGCACTCTCTGATGGAGGTGAGGGGGGAGAAATCCTGGATATCCCTACAAAGATTACTCAACGTGTTCTCCCTATGTGGTAAACTTGTGTGCCACTTTCCCATTGGCAGCTGGTTGAGAGTGGCAACTGCATTCGTGAAGTGACAAGCAAGCACCCTAACCACAGGATGGGATGATGAAGTTGAGGATGTGTCTCTTAATTGCATGATGGCTGATATAATAGCCAGAATACGTGAGGTAGATCCCATAGGTGGAGACTGGTGTGTGAATGGCAGCAAAATAAAGGTGTGGGTAGATGTGAATTCTGTGGCCACAGGAGTGGCAATAGAAGTAAATGGAAATGTCATCGAGGATGCTTCTTGGCTGTGTTCAGCTGGAGATGCTAAGCACATCAATTTGGCCAAGCTAGATGCAACAATAAAGGGTGTCAATTTGGCTCTTTGATGGCAGGTGTCAACATTACATCTCTTTACCAATTGTGCATGTGTTCACCACTGGATTTCAAACTCCCTAACCAGTAGGGCATGAATAGATATGAAGGTGTCTGATGAAATGCTAGTGCAGAGACAGCTGGGCACACTTCATGAGCTTGTGGCTGAATATAGATTGACAATGGATATAACACTGGTCAAGTCCAATCTGAATCAGGCAGACCACCAAAGAGGTGGTTAAAACTACATAAAGAGGGAACTGAGCCAGTACAGTTAGTGTGTGCCACTGCGAAGACCAAGTTGGACACATGTCAGGTGGCTAATATCCACCAACAAACTGGACAAATGGACATAAAAAGGACCCTGTACTTTGTAAGTATCAACAGAAGTTATAAAGTCGGTCATCAAGGAATGTGAGGCTTGCCGATCCATTCACCTGGCACCAGCTCATTGGTAAAAAGGAAAGCTGGAAGAGATAGACAACTGGAGTAGGTTAGCAATGAACAACAACCACTATGGTAGTAGACATTTTCTGACAATCATTGATTGTGGACCCTCTCAGTTCATGATATGGCAACCACTATGTCAACAACATTCTAACTGTGTAGTTTGCCAGTCAAAGTCAATTTTTTATGCATGGGGTCTGCCACGTGATATTGACCAACAATGACACATGCAAGAATTTCAAGGGCTTTTTGAGTAATTGGGGCATATGTTTGCAGTACTGATGCTCTCACTGGGAATGTCATAGTAGAAAGAAATCACCTTTAAAGCATCAAAACCACTGTAGCCAGAAAGCAGTGCTTTATACCAGAGATGGTTTACTGGTATAACATCACACCTAAAGATAACCACTCACCTACTACAGCACTGGCTGATGCACTTCATAGGTACCATACCCAAATATGGGGCATTGATATCACTCCTCTTACTGAACCTCAGTATACTTGAGGAGCATACTAAGTGGGAGACATTGTTTGGGTTAAAACTCCTCATGGAAAGTTTAGGATAGGCCACATAGTCCACCATCAGTACACATCAAAGGAGTTCCATGTCACATGAAGGACCTATGTCTCTTCACAGGATTGGTCCCAACATTTGGACATGATAGCGATTCTGAAGAGAGTGAGCAGTTAGTAAATTTGAGATTAACCCCACTAGGAGAATCTGATGACACCCCTGATAATGGATCCTTTGAAGACAGGAAACCTCACAGGATGATTCCCTAACTACCAGCAGCCAAAATACTAATACAGTATGACCTGATAGCTCCCTTGGTGGCAGTTTGTCTGAGAATGAAGCTTGTGTTGTTCTGTTTCAGAGGAGCATCCAGCAAAAGAGAGTACTGTATTTTTTGTGATCAGGAGATCAGAGGGAAGTATAGTGAACAATTACGTAGAAGTAAACAAGTCAGAGTGGCTTGCATCTGGTGTAAATGAAAATAATAACTTCCTTAAATCAATGTGTGACACATAGCAGCAACATTTTGTTCCTTTGAAAATGACATGAATCTTCCCCCACCTTAGTTATTCCAGAAGTGTATGGTTCGGAAACATTGACTTTTATATAGCTTAGTGTGGTTTGACCAATAGCAATCCATGTGCTGATTGGTCAGACTGGAGGATGACATTTAACTAAGTTACTGACGATGAAGCCAAGAACGGTGTGTCAGTCAGCTGTGGTTTTGGCATAATAAAAAAGGCCGAAGCAGTTAGAAGAGGGTGGTTATTTTATGTTGGTGACACATGGGCAAATTCAAGAATGGTGTCTTCAGAAGTAGCATTCAGTGTTGTACGAGTGGTGTCTGAGGAATAGAACCTCATTTAACTACAGAAATTAATACAAACTTCTTATTATAACAATAACTATTATGATAATAATATTTCTTTATATAATTTATATTTATATTGCTTTAGAAATTACTTTTAACTAACTTCACAAATATATAATTTGCTAATATTCTTTAGCATTGTGATAAGTAAAACAGAACTCAGAACAGAAGTAAAAGTACTAAGGTTCATTTAGCTAAACGAAACTCAGCTACAAAATAAAAGAGAGGTAAGTCACAGATTATATAGTCTGTGTGTGTGAGTCTATTTTTTGTATAGCGCAAGCATAGGATACCACATTCTTCGGTACTTGGAAAATTGTGGCATCACCATCCATAACAATCTGGGGGTCTCGTTGTCCGTCCAGATCTCCTTATCTGTTGGACCTCATCAACATCTCCATTACATGTCATGCCCTCCTCCAGTATAGGGACAATTGGGGTACTCCTATCTTGTTCTGTGGTGGTGGGCTCAGGGGTTAACTCCATTTCAGGGCAGAGTGCCAAA